GTATAACACTGCTGCGGCGCGCAGCCCGATCCCATAGTATCCTCACATCTGGCCCTTGGCCATACTCAGTCCAGAAATTATATAAGCCCCTCGGGCATTAGTAAAATAGTAGTTATCAACCCAAAACATCATTTAACATATCATTTTAGTTTCAAAAACCGAGTAAAAGTGGCTGAGTTGTAAAACAGTAGAAAACGGTGTGACTGAGTTCAAGTAGTAAATCAAAACAGTGAGGAAATAGTGATAAAAATCCCCGGAGGGTTCAATTAGTTGGCACGAAGCCCAAATGTGACAATCATCCAAATCATGATGATAACAAATAAGTTACAGTCAAATACGCGGTAAAATCATCAATCGGGACGGACCAAGTAACAATCCCCAATAGTAAACGACCCCATGCTCATCATCAAGCGCGTGTCTCACCTCAATATAGCACTATGATGTGCAAATCCGGGGTTTCAAACCCTCATAATATAATTTACAATCATTACTCACCTCGAACCGGAGAAATCCCTAGCTCACGACGCCTTTGCCCCTCAAATCGGCCTCCACACGCGTCGAATCTATCCAAAATCTGAACAAATACATCACAATATGCTAAGGGAACAAAGCCCAAGCGAAAACAATCAATAACGGGCACAAATCCCGAAATTACTAAAACCTGAGCCCCGGGCCCACTCCTCGAAACTCAGAGATTTTCACATCAACGGGTTCCTTATCTCCTCACGAGTTCATGCATACCAAAAGTTCTCAAATCCGACCCCAATTGGTCCTTCAACTCCCCAAATCAAATTTCAAAAATTCCAAGCCCTAGTTTCTTCCATTTTTAGCTTAAGTTCCATGAATTTCTAGGTTAATTTCACAATAAAATCACGTTTTAGGTTCAAAAAATCTTACCTCCAATCAGTTCTCCTTGAATCCCTCTTTAATCACCTTCAAAAAGCTCTCAAAATGCTCAGCTATGGAGGAAAAATGGCTCAAAATCGCGGATGAAATGTTTTATAACTTTCTGCCCAGTTCTGGAATTCCTTCATCGCGTTCGCGAACGCGAAGCACATCACTTAATTTCCCAAAATTAACCCTATGCGAACGCGAGACGCACCCCGCGAACGCGATGCATCAGCCTTCCTCTCCTACGCGAACGCGACACTACTCATGTGAACGCGAAGACCAATAACCACTGGACCCCTATTCCTTATACGCGAACGCGATAGGCTTTGTTCGAACGCGAAGCACGACCATCTGACCTTCCGCGAACGTGGACCCTCGAACGCGGACGCGAAGAGCAAATCACCTACCTCCCAATTCCTTCTTCGCGAACGCGAGATTCTTTACGCGAACGCGAAGAGTTAATTCTCTGCAACACCTGAAATGAGAAATCTGCAACTGTTAAACTTAGAAAATGGTCCGATAGACCACCCGGAACTCACCCGAGGCCCCCGGGACCTCAACCAAAAGCACCAACACATCCTAAAACCTCATTCAAACTTGTTCCAATCATCAAAACACCTCCAACAACTCTAAATCCACCAATTCACATCGAATTCAAGCCTAAGTTTTCTAAAAACTTTCGAAACTTGCTTTTGATCAAAAACCCAACCAAACCACGTCCGAATGACCTGAAATTTTGCACACACATCCCAAATGACATAACGAAGCTACAACAACTCTCGGAATTCCATTTCGACCCTCGGATCCAATTCTTGCCTACCAACCGAAAATCGCCAAAATACTAACTTCGCCAATTCAAGCCTAATTCTACACCGGACCTCCAAAACTAACTCCGATCACGCTCCTAAGTCACAAATCACCTCCCGAAGATAACCGAACCATCAAAATTCACATCCGTGTCCTCTAACATATAAGTCAACATCCGGTTGACTTTTTCAACTTAAACCTTCTTAAAAGAGACTAAGTGTCTCATTTCTTGCCAAAACCACTCCGAACGCAAACTATTCAACTTGATCACATGAAACACGGATAACGAAACATAAAGAAGCAGAAATGGGGAAAACGGAGCGATAACTCATGAGACGACTAGACGGGTCGTCACAGTTTCATTTCATTATTCCGCAAATGCCTTACCTAGTGGTAGAGACTAGGTGTCGTCACGACGTCATACGGGGAAAAAATTGAGTCGTGACATAATTTGAGAATTTAAAAGAAATAAAAGAATAACATAGCTTATTATGACTTTTTACTGATATAAGGTTATAAAGACTTGGCTTATAAGCATTTTGGTTCTTTACCAAATGTGTAAATAAATCAAAATGTGCTTATAAGACAGTTTGGCCAGCTTATAATTAAGCAGAGACGAATTCATGAATTAAATGATATAGGTTAACCTTTTAAGGTTCTTCGCGTTGAGACTATTAAATTTCTAAAATTATGAGTTTAGGTCTACTGTTGCAATCTTAAAATAAAAAATATAATCACTTACTTAGAGTGTGTAATTAAGTGCTTACTTTCAAGGATTCAAAAAGTATTCGATCTAGAAGGAAAAGTCAAAGGAAAATAGGTTATACAAACATGCTATCTCGTCAATCCATCATTACAACCCTCCCAAAAATAATGATAAATCTAATGATACCGTGTAATTAAAATTGTGAAAAGTTAGCCTCCATATTGATATGCTCTAATCATCTAGATGATTCTCAAATGAATTGGCCATATTTAATCAAAATAAAATGACCATCTAATCATAAAGTCATCCAAAATATATTTATAAAATCAAAATATTTGATGAGTAAATTCCTTGAATGGTCAGGCACGGGAACATCCTATCAAAGTTACTTTTATTTTTTTAGGACAATAAAATCGCCCAACTATTACATTTTGACTTAGAAAATAAGTACTATACCTTTTGATATGCCGTGTCATATTAAAACTCAACCCCACCCCTCTCCAAAGGTATATTGTCTGATTTACTGAATTAATTATATAGATAACCTTGAATATAAATTACTCATATAGATTTACAAAAAGAAGTCACTATATAAGTTTATTAGAATTTTGGGTTATGGATTAAATGTTTTTTATCACTAAAAAAAAATTAATATGACATGACATGTCAAAATGTATAGTATTTATTTTCTGAGTCAAAATGCAATTGTAGAATGCTTTGTTGCCCTAAAAGAAACAAAACTGACTTTGGTAGGATGTTCTCATAAGTTGAGTGACTATCTAAGGAATAAAGATCTAGAAAATAATTTGTTCAAAATTCCATACCAAAACCTCAACAACTAATATCAACATTAAATTTAAAAATCAATTAAAAGTGTACCTGTGGTGTTCCTTACTCCATACTATCATCTAAGACTAAACAAAAAGAAAGTAATTGTACAATGTAAGTCGCACCTTTAATTGAAACGTTCTCTCTTCAACTAATTAAGAAAAAATGATGAGGTTTAAAGTTATAACAGATATGTTGAGACGAACAACTCATGAGTAGAAGCATAATAGTGTATGTTTGTTGGAAATTATAAACTTACCATATCCAAATGCACTTTAGAGGAAAAATAAAAGTTTTTTTTAGGTCTTTTACAAAAGAAAACATTATTAACTTTATAATATTACAGGTCCTTCTATAAAAGAGGAAAGCTCACTAGTGAAAATTACTTTCGACTTTGAATTGCATTGACTCATTGAGTGATTAAAGAGCAAACAATTTTTGTAGCACGTTAATTTTTAACATAGTACACACCAAAAAATTGTGCTTAAATTCAAAGTAATACTAAAATATTTTAAGTTCCAATATGCGTAATAAGTTTATGTATCAAATATAAATGGTGATTAACATGAAATTATTTAAATAATAAACTTTACTTCAGAGGAAAATTAAGCTAAAATAAAAGTTGTAGGAGTATAATAGTGTGTGTGTTTGTGTTGTGTTTTAAAACTAATAGATGAGAGGAAAAATAATAAACTTCATAGGATAATCAATCCTCCTGCAGAAGAAAAAATTTATTACGTCGACGTCAAAATTTTTGTGGACAAAGCATATCATTCTAGGTTTGAGAGTTAAAAGAGAAGGATATGTAACATAGGTGAGAAAAAATAAAAAATACATCAAAAAAGGCTGAAAGAAAATATTACAAAAAAGGAAGCATTATTGATAAAGAGTACTCATGTTTTATCTATGGTATAACGGGAAAATACTTTTGTAAGGAAAATCTATAAAGTCAGATTGAACTATATATATGAAAAGAAAAATAATTAAATTAAAATGATTACCTCTAGTATTCGAAATGGCAATCATCTGGAAGGTAGATTGATGATATTACGTAATCAAATTATTCTTCGGATGCTTGAAATTTTATGTCACTGACTCATTTGCTCACATTTTAATTTCACAATAGGACATCCAAGTTTGTCTTGCATTATTGAAGAGTTATCATCTGGCAGACATGATAATTAATTAGTTTTCATATATTCAATGTTGGAACAACAAAGACACTCATTAAGAAATTATATTTACGGAAGATGAAAGAATAGTGAAAGAAATTATCTTGACATGAGAAAAAACAATGGATGAATCAGAATTTTATGATTGTGCTTTAAAAAGGATCTAAACTTGTTTTGAGGAAAAGTTTGTTGTAATCCTGTGAAGAGCCTCCGTACATACTTGTTTTGAATGTGAAGCGTTGTGATTGTTCGGTCGAGGCCTAATTAGGTTATTAATTGGGACTCTTAGGGTATTCAGGTAAACAAAAAGGATATTTTAACATTGCATTTAAAAGGGATTATGCATCTAATAGTTATGGCTTGTGACCCCTCATGAAGGGGTACGTAGGTTATTTGTCCTTAGTTATTTTTAAATTTTTATTAATAGGGTATTTAAGTTAATTAGAAGGGTATCTTAGTAATTTAATTTTTGTCTTATGGGCTTCTCACTTCAATCTTTTTTTATAACTAAAAAAAAAAAGGAAATTAAAAGCGTACTAAGAGATAATGACATTCATACCATCAACTTTTCTTTTCATTTTTGCTTGCATGCAAAATATTAATTATCCCTATTTCTCTCCTCTCCATTCCTCTCCTCTTCCTCCTATTCTCTTTCTTTCTCTCTCTCTCTCTAGAATCCTTTTATCCTTAACAAGGATTCAAGAGAAGTGAAAGAGGGGAGATGGGGCAACAAACGTTGATCTACAGCTTCGTCGCCCGGGGAACGGTGATCTTGGCAGAATACACCGAGTTCACCGGTAATTTCAGTAGCATTGCCTCGCAATGCCTTCAAAAATTACCTGCATCAAATAATAGGTTCACCTACAACTGCGATGGCCACACTTTCAATTTCCTCGCCGAGAATGGATTCAGTCAGTTTCCCTTTCTTTCCATATATTCACGTCGCATTTTATAATAAAAGTTTTTTCTACATTTACATGGACAATAAGGATTCATATATATAGCTAATCCTAATTTGTTTAACGTTGATATTTAGTTTTGTTGTTGCAATTTTGATCGATTGGATGCAGCATGGTAGAAAAAAGAATAAAAGGAATGATGTTGTTGCAAAAATTGATCGATTATGTGTAAAATTGCACAATGATTATGTTTATACGTCCTATTCGTTGAGGAGGTGTTCATTTCTAATGCATCTAAAAATCATTATCAGTGCTTGGTATGACATAAATATTTCTCACGATAAACTTATTTTCTGATACTTGAGGAAAATATATGTTCTCAGATTTTTTTTTTAATTTTAAAAATGACTTCTTCATACAAAATACACTAGGTTGTTTTATTTAGTTATCTCGAAAGATTACTTAATGGCGAACAAGAAGAAATGTTACCGGAATTAGTGAAAGAGAGTTTTGCGATTATGAGATATAGTTTGGGGTAATTTTTCAATATTGGTTTGAGATCGATTGGGAAAGCTTTTTTGGGTGGAGGTGATGAAGATATTGTTGGGCAAACAACATATGCTAGGGCCTAGGAGTTAGTAATTTTGTTCAATCCACCCCCCCCCCCCCCCCCAATATGTATATATATGGATTTCCTTTAATTTCTTTTCCATTTGTTAGCACCAATAGGTGAGTTAAAGAACTCAATATTTAGAAATGGATGAGAGAGGAGATACATATTAATTTCAGGCAAAATATTGTTAGTCTACGGCAAATTCTAATCCATCTTTCCTCTCTCGATGATATTTTGTTAAGATGTCACGTACCATAAGTTTATTTCACATTTCATCATCGTAAAATAATATATAGATTTCTACAAAACTTATGTGGATATTAGTGATGTGGAGATTAATGGGGAAACCAAGTGCTGTATTAAGTTATATGTCAATCGATTTTTCTTATACGACCAACCAAACATTGTATTATAACTTATATATAGGTGGAATTATATGGTGTTATTATTTTTTGTTAATACGTAAGATTTGTGTGAATGATATTGCAGCCTACTGTGTGGTTGCTACTGAATCAGCAGGCAGGCAAATTCCCATAGCCTTCTTGGAACGTATAAAGGATGATTTTAGCAAGAGATATGGTGGAGGAAAAGCTACAACAGCTACAGCTAAAAGTCTGAACAAGGAATTTGGGTACCTACTTTTGTTTATTATACACACAACCACAATATAGGCATATATTCTCTTACACTATCATGTCATTCAAAGCATATCAAGAAATGTAAAGAATTTTTAAACTATCACATTATTTTTACTCGTTGTATCAATTAATCTGTTTTATTTTCAAGACTCACTTTTTATGAAGGTTTATCAATCGATATCTTTCGAGATACATGATAGTATTCTAAAAATTATTTTATAATGACAGTGTATATAAGTCAAAGGTAGCTCTCCATAAACAATGAAAGTAATTATATTAAAAATAAAGCAGGTTACCTGCCAGGTAAAAGTGACCTTGTTATCTTCTATGCGTAGCAGTCGAATGTGTATAACTTAAAATCTGAATTACTTCAAATACCTTGTCTTTAGTCTAGGCATTGCCAAAACAATTGTTTCCCAAATTTATGAATCCCCTGTTGTAGGGCAAAGTTAAAAGAGCACATGAAGTACTGTGTTGAACATCCTGAAGAAATTAACAAGCTTGCTAAGGTGAAAGCTCAAGTTTCAGAAGTTAAGGGAGTGATGATGCAAAACATTGAAAAGGTAAGGAAACAATTTCTATGGTGAAAAGCTCAAGTTTTGCTTTCTCATTAAAAACTAACTATATATAGCATAAATCTGCTTTAAAAAATGTTGTCTTGATCAGGTTCTAGACCGGGGTGAGAAGATTGAGCTTCTGGTTGATAAAACAGAGAATCTTCGGTCACAGGTTAGCTTGATGCATATTGTTAATTTATAACAATCTTAGGATAATATTGTTGCATATATTAAAGGGCAGCCCAGTACACTAAGCTCCCGCTATACTAGGGGCCCGGGGAAGGGCCGGACCACAAGGGTCTATTGTCTTACCTTGCATTTCTGCAAGAGGCTGTTTCCACGGCTTGAACCCGTGACCTCCAGGTCACATGGCAGCCACGACGCCAAGGCTCCCCTTCTATCGTTGCATATATTAAGAACACCATAAAAGCTGGTAAGTTGTTTTGTGTGATTTTTTTTCAGGCTCAGGACTTCAGGCAACAGGGGACCAAGATAAGGAGGAAGTTGTGGTATGAAAATATGAAGATAAAACTGATTGTGTTAGGGATTATCATAGCTTTAATTCTCATTATCATTTTGTCCGTTTGCCCTGGCTTCGACTGCTTTTGATTTGCCTGATCATGCTGTCAGTGTCAATATTGTTCCACATACAAAATCTACTAATTATCAGTCAATTTAGCACACAAGGAGCTGGATTGGCCTAAATTATGATTGTAGATGTATATTAATCAGGATTAGTTTGTCTTAATTACTTTTCTTCTTTTGGGAATTGTCCCATTGTTTCTACGCTTCTTTGCTCTTTCTCCAAATGAAATTTCACAATTCTGTTGCAAATATTTAACATCTAAGCTTGGTAATTGTTCATGATTAGTTGATTTCAAATGCACTGTTCTCTTGTATATTTTTCTAACATGCCCAGGGGATTCAATATGCCTAGTAGGAGCATATCAACAACTTAATAAATTAATATTAAAAAAATGAAAAGACAGGGATATATTGGCAATTGTAACTTTTGTTCCAAAATGTAGTACACCTTTTAGGTGTACGTTGGATTGATTTTATGAAACGATAGACGTGATGGAATATTTGTCCACCTATCTACGATGCAAGTCAAAGTACTACCTTGGTTTCATCAAATAAGCTTATGTGAAGCTCATAAATTTAAAATCTTACGTCAAAATGACTTCTCACATCAGCTGGAAAATTAAAATCACATTAGTAAGCCAATAATTTTGTTCCCTTATCGTCGTAGTAAAAGGAACACACTCAGCTGTAAAATGAATAGTGAAAGAAAAAAAAAGGTCACAGAAATACTTAATAAAAAAAAAGAACAATATGCAAAAAAGTAAAGAAGGAAATGTATGTTGTACCAAAAATCAACAATAACAAAATCCACAGTGTGAGAAAAGAAAGAAAATGTGTGAGTTAATATCGACGCATGCAAGAAAAGAAGTAGTGTCCATATTATGATATTTGCTTATAAATAGGCATTCCTATTTATAAATCATCCCTCAAAATTTCTTCTTTCTCTTCAGAGTAATAAAATATTCTCTGTGTGGCCGTGGAATAGGAAAAAATTGCTGAACCATGTAAATCTTGTCTTGTCTTGTTTTGCGAGTTTTTATTATTTTTCTCTTGAAATTATTATATTCTTCATTTAGTCCGACACGCTTTCCGACAACTAGTATAAGAGTACAGACAGTATGATTCTGGTAGAAAGGTACGGTATTGATGCAATGTACTATTCACAAGAATAGTGCGGCATTATTTCTCATTAATACTAAAACTATTCACAATAGTGATAGTATTGTTGACCAATAGCGATTGTTGTCTACCTTACGGTTGGGACATCTTCTCTTACTCAGAGTAGTATTTGCATTTACTATTCACAGGCACTATTTACATATAAAAAAATTGTGAAAAATGGCATTAGAAGAAAGGAAGGTTAAGCTTAACAAGTTCAATGGCAAAGATTTTGGATTCTAAAAAATGCAAATAGAGGATTGTTTGTACCAAAAAATTTCACTTACCTCTGACTGGGGTAAAACCAAAGAAATGCCAAAGCGGATTGGGATCTATTAGATCTCTTGGTGTGATTCGTTTGATGCTAACACAAAATGTAGTGTTTAACATCATTAACGAGAAGACCACTGCAGGCTTGATGAAGGTGTTATCAAATATGTACGAGAAGTCATCCACTTCAAATAAAATCTATTTGATGCGTCGATTGTTCAACTTAAAGATGACAGAAGGTGGATCTGTTACGGAACATATCAATGAGTTTAATATAATATTAACTCGGTTGAGTTCTGTTAATATAACATTTGATGACGAAGTCAGGGTGTAGATTCTGCTATCATCTCTACCGGAGAGTTGGTCTGCAACAGTAACTGCAGCTAGCAGTTCATCGGGTAGTACCAAACTCAAATTGGATGATATTAGAGACTTGGTTCTGAGAGAAGATATTCGCCGGAGAGGTGATTCCCCAGGATCCGCTTTTAATTCCGAAAGCAAGGGAGAAGCAGCCAAAGAGGACAAGGCCACGGTCACGGCAGATCAAAGTCAAGGAGAAGAGGGCAATCCAAAAATCGCACAGACATTACTTGTTGAAATTGCAATAAAAAGGGCCATCACTACAATAGTCAGTGTAGAGAACCAACAAAGAAGAAGGATGAAAATTCAGCAAATGCAATTGCTGAACAAGTCGTGATGCACTAATGGGTTGTGTAGACAGTTCAGTCGAATCTTGGATTCTGGACTCGGGTGCATGCATCCTTTCACTCTAGCTCATGCAAAGAATTATTGCATAATTATATTTCTAGAACATTCGGGTAGGTTTATCTAGCAGACGGCGAACCTATTGTTGGGAAATGTGAAGTTCATATGAAGACTTCACAAGGGACGCTATCGAAATTACAAAATGTCTGACATGTTCATGGCCTCTAGAAAAATCTTATATCCATGGGTCAGATTGATAGTGAAGGATACACAATAGTATTCGATAACGGATCATGAAAGATAACTAAAGGAAATTTGGTCGTGGCATGAGGCTTCAAGAAGGGAACACTGTATGCAGCCGAAATACAGAGAGATACTAGCAGTAGTTCACCATGGCCGTGACACAATATCGTGGCACCGGCGGCTCGGGCATATGAGTGAAAAGGGAATAAAGTTGTTGGAATCCAAATAAAAATTGCCAAACCTCAAGCATGTTGAATTAGGTTTGTGCGAATATTGCATTTATGGGAAACAAAAAAGAGTTAGTTTCTCAAAGGCGGGAAGGACGCCAAAGAAAGAGAAGCTGGAACTAGTGCATACAGATGTGTGGGGCCCGGCTCCTATAACTTCTTTGGGAGGCTCACGCTATTATGTCAGCTTCATTGATGATTCCACGAGAAATGTATGGGTTTATTTTCTGAAAATAAATCTGACGTGTTTGTTACCTTTAAAAGATGGAAAGCAGAAGTTGAAAATCAGACAAGCCTAAAGTTAAAATGTCCGTAGTCTGACAATGGAGGAAAGTATGATAGTCAAGAATTCAAAGCATTCTGCTCGGAGAATGGAATCAAAATGATCAAGACAGTTCCTGGAACACCGGAACAATGGCGTTGTTGAGAGGATGAAAAGAACCCTGGATGAATGAGCCAAAAGTATGAGACTACATTCTGGATTGCCAAAGTATTTATGGGTCGAGGCTGTTAACACGGCACTTACCTTATAAATAGAGGGCCCTATGTACCGTTGAATTTTATAATACCTAAGGAGGTAACTCTCTAACATCTAAATTTTTTTGTTGTGTTGCTTATGTGCATGTAAACTCTAATGACAGAGATACGCTTGATCCTAAAGCCAAGAAATATTGGCTATGGCGATGATAATTTTGGTATTGATTTTGGGATGATCATAATAGAAAGATCGTAAGACACAAGAATGTCGCATTCAATAAAAATGTGATGTACAAGGACAAACTTGGAGTAGAACCAACCAGCACCAGCAGATAGACATCTGAAACAGTTAAGTTAGAAGAAATCTTAGAAAATAAAGTGGCTAGAGATATTACAACTGATTCTGAAACTGAAGAAGCAGAACCAGAAGCTGAATCTGGATTAGAATCAGAACCAGAACCAGAGATAGAATCAGACGGAGAACCACATTTGGAGCCAGGACTTGAATCAAATTCGGGGTCAGTTACTCCTGAACCTATATTAATGAGATCTAAAAGAGTTACAAATGCTCCAGATAGGTTAACTCTCTCTCTCTCTCTCTCTTTCTCTCTCTCTCTCTCTCTCTCTCTCTCTCTCTCTCTCTCTCCACTATTTACTTCTGATTGATGCTGGAGAACCATAACATTTTGTTGAAGCAATGCAGGTGATAAACTCTGATAAGTGGAAGCTGGCCATGAAAGAAGAGATGAAATCTCTTCAAAAGAATAAAATATGGATACTTACAGAGTTACCAAAAGGAAAGAAGGCATTGCAGAACAGGTGGGTGTACAGGGTCAAAGAAGAGCATGACAGTAAGAAGAGATACAAAGCACGATTAGTAGTAAAAGGATTTCAGCAGAAGGAAGGAATTGGCTACACCAGGATCTTCTCTCCTGTAGTAAAATTAACTACTATCAGGTGGTGCTAAGTATCATAGCTGCAGAAAATTTGCATTTGGAGCACCTAGATATTAAAATCGCTTTATTGCATGGTGACCTTGAAAAAGACATCTACATGAAGCAACTTGAAGGTTTTCAAGTTTCCGGTAAAGAAAACCTTGTGTATAAGTTGAAGAAGAGTTTGTACGGTTTGAAATAAGCTCCCCGATAATGGTACAAGAAATTTGATGGATTCATGTATAACAATGGTTTCACACGATGTGAAATGGACCATTGCTTTTATATCAAAATTTTGATGAATCCTATATCATTTTACTGTTATACGTTGATAATATGCTAATTGCAAGATCTAAAATAAATGAAATCAATAGGGCTAAGCAACAGTAGGCGGAGGAATTTGAGATGAAAGACCTAGGACCAACTAAGAAAATGTTGGGGATGAGAATTAGTAGAGACATGTCTGAAGGAACCTTAAAGTTGTCTCAAGAGAAGTACATACAAAATGTATTAAGCAAGTTCAATCTTCATGATGCGAAGACCATAAACACTCCACTAGGAAGCCACCTCAATATGTCTAAGGAGCAATCACCAAATACAGATGAAGAAAGAAGGCATATGTCAAAGGTACCATATGCTTCAGCAGTTGGAAGCTTGATGTATGCTATAGTGTGTACCATACTTGACATAGCCCATGCAGTCGGAGTTGTTAGTCGTTATATCTCAAATTCTAGAAAGGAACATTGGGAATGAGTTAAATGGATCTTGCGATTCCTCTAAGGCACTTCAGGTATGTCACTTTGCTTCAGAAAGTAGTAGTTTATTTTACAAGGGTTTTCTGATACAAACCTAGGTGGTGATCTGAATAGTTGAAAAAGTACCACCGGCTACATGTTCACATTGGATGGTACAGCTGTTAGTCTGATGTCCAAGCTTCAAAAAAGTGTTGTTCTATCTACAACTGAAGTAGAGTACATGGCAAACTCAGAAGCTGCGAAAGAGATGATAAGGCTTAAGAACTTTCCAGAAAAGTTGGGCAAGAAACAGGACGATTGTGAACTCTTTAGTGATAGTCAAAGGGCAATTCATCTTGCCAAGAATCCAGTATTTCATGCAAGATCGAAACATATCCAGCTGAGGTATCATCATATCCAAGAGTTGATAGAAGATGAAACTCTATCCCTAAAGATGATACCAGGATCGAAGAACCCGGCAGGCATGTTAACCAAAGTAGTTGGTGTTGATAAGTTGAGGTTGTGTATTG